ATATCATTTTTAATTCACATTCTCATACCAAAATTAAGTTATTTCCATTTCTTGTACTACTGCTGCTAATTCAAGTTTGTAAGAATTAAATATGATAATGTAAACATCACTTCTAAGACCTCGCTACATGACGACCCCATGTTACAATATGTAAACACAACTGTAATTGAAAAGTTGCAAACTGAAATACTACTCTTATGTTCCACAAAAAATTACTACAATACATAATATACACATAGGCACTCTTAGCAGTTTATATAATATACACATGAAGTTCAGCCTCTAAATTATGAACTGAAGAAATATGTGGAACAGAACAAAAATATTTATATTTAACTGTGTGTGTTGTGTTAAAAATGAAGTTACTGAATTTATAATATTGACCACAGGGTACATAATTTACAGCTTTCTTAATCCTTTAACCAAAAAATTAAATTTTAAATGAGATTCTACTATGTTTTATTGTGTTAGAAGGGGTACAAGTATTAATTTTACTACATTCTACTATGTTATGACAAACAGAATAATATTAGTATAACAAATATTCAGCTCAGAAAAATACATAAATTCAAGAACTAGGATGTCTTATTGCTGAACATTTGGAGGGATATGAGTGAATAACAAAAAAATATAATCTGACAATGGAAAATTACTGAAAAGCAAAAGTAGTATCAAGTATCTCAGTAATGACTGATTTTGTTATAGAATATTACTGAGTAATATATGAACCCCTTTGCAATTTTAGGCTTAACTTAATATGAATTTAAAAAAAATAATCATGATATTTCAATAACTTATTCTTATTTATAACTTTGCAGCATGAGAGTCAATAAGAAAGGGTGACTGTGGTCCCAGATCTGGAAAAGGTTGAGAACACCTGGGTTACATCATGAAGAAGAAGAATAAAACAAAAGTGGAAAATCTATTCACTCTGCTGCATTGATTTGTACTGTAAAATATTCACTCACAGATAAGCTTATAACTTTTACTCATGGTTCATTTTCTCATGTGTGCGACAGGCCATTCCCATTTCAATGTCCTTGATTTAATCCAATTATCTTTCATTTACATCTGTTTCTTTTAAAATTCTTTAAGAATTACTACCCAATGCATTTCATACAATTGCCGGTAATTCTAAATTATGTGTACAAAAATTTTTCAAATTGCAACTTTCAAACATTCTTTTATATGAAATAATATTATTTAATTTATCAAATAAAAATTAAATTTTGTAGGTGCATTTTGTACATGCTGAGTAATAACAAAAAAATAATTCAGATAAGATAATTTATATGTAGTCTGAATGAAACTGATTAATAAATTTCTGTTGTTTATGTGTTAAGTATGCATTTGTTATTAAAGTTTTCAGTGTACTGTAGTGAGTTATTTGTTTTATGACATTTTTAAAAATATGATGTTTAATCTATCACTTAGCTATTGTATCTGTGTATGTTATACTTTGTATCACATCAAAAGATTATACTGACTGCTTATCATTACTAGTACCTTGTGTATGAAAATGTTTATTTTTAACATCTATTACATATCTATAAATAATAAATGAGCACAGTACAACACAAACAGGGGAAGACATCTGTATGAGGAGTGATGTTATGTACATATGAAGGAGATCAGGCAATTAAGAATCCTCTCTTTAGGATATTTATGGGATATAATTTATCAGAGTTTTGAAAATCTTAGGTAATGCAGAAGTATCAGCATTTCAGAATGAAATTTCTCTTCTCTGCTACTGCTAGAAAACATTTAGAGAATTTTCTTATATAACATTAATCCTCAGTTTTATTTGCTTAGATTACACACTGAGGAAAACAGTTGACGGATACTAAATATGCTCAACTAATAGCACTTAGAAAATGGATTATTCTTTCTGACATTTGTAGAAGTAATCAGATACTATTAACAGCCATTTCTCAATTCCCCACACTACATTGATTATCATCTAGTCAACATCACTATTATTCCAAAATGATATGCTCACTGGGGTTTCCAGGTCAGAAAAAATATTTTATGAAATATTTATGTACAAAATACAGTATAGAATGAATCACTTCAATTAACAACACTTCATGGCATTTATCTTTAGGCAAAGTGAACAATATCTGAAGAGCCTGCTTCATTACTTTGGTTGATTACAGTCACTTATTATTGGAACTTCTGAGAAACCCTGACATCAATTTGTGATAATTCACTTAAAAATAATATGCATACAGTCACATGCATAATATAATCAAATAATTGTATTATTAAACTCCTATGAATTCTTACAATAGCCTTTCCTTTACCACCTTATGAATAAAAGTGATACATGTGGGACCAGACTATAAAAACAACCTATTACAAATTATTAATTTACTTTTTAAATAGAATTACTTTGGCAGGTTCTATAAATGAACTGCATCCATATCTCCATTTAAAGATATCCAAGTTAATTAAATTAATTTAAAGAAGTGTAGTACATAACATTATAATATTACTTCTTATGTCAATACTTCACCTCTATACCAGGATACTTGGTGTACAATCTGCCATGGAACTGTTCATCTAGCAGCTCAGATGTAAGCATAATATACATCTGATTCTAGTATTTGTGGCAAATTGTAAAAGAAAAATAATACTTTTAAGAATTTATGTAAAGAACTTGAATTATTTGGTCATGTTCATTGTCTACACTTTTGATACCAGCCTACACTAATATAATTCATCTATTAAGTATGTGGAAGTCTGTTTAAAGTTGATAATTCAGTACACAGACAACCAGCCATCCAGCCAGCCACATGAAAACTGAGATTTTTGTGGTCAAAGGCTCTTAACATACTCATGAGGGAAAATTTTGAGACTCTTTTTGCACACTACCAATACTTCCTAATATGGTAGCTACAAAAATAAAGTATCAGAAAGAGTTTTTGTATAATTTTTTTTTTAAAAATCCAAGATGGCAAAAGCAGAATGTCTATCAGATTCATCCTTCTGGAGCCACAGAGCTACAACACAAAATAAAGTGGTTACTGAAATGTTATTACAGGTCAAGGATCAGTCTGAACATCATTTTCTGTTTATAAATATACGTTAATACACATTCAGGATGTAGTGAAATATCAGTTTCACTTTTCCTTAAGTGCACAAGAAAGGGAGCCCACCATACCTGACATAAGGAAACACTATACTGACATCTATCTCTACTTACCAGTTCACACTGATTTAGGTGTGAAAGGTACAATCACTTTCTGCACAGTCCCTGATCATATGACTACACTTTTATCTTTAACAAACCAACAATAAATGGTCTCCATCTAACAACTAGATATACTTGAAAAGTACCTCTGTGTATTTAAGAAGTTCAAAGTACATAACAGAGAGGACTGCGTCTAAATAAGTCACAACTGAACCAAACGCAATATTAGTGCTGTTTTATATAATTTTCCACTGAAATACAGCTTGAAAGTTGTAAATATTTTCTACAGATCTATGAAAACATGTTATTTCATGTGACAGGTTATATCTCAGGTCCTTCAACAAATCAAATTTAACATGTGTTAAGTATTACATGGCAGTTCCAAAATTTCAAGATAGAACACCATGTGGAAAACATCTAATTATAGTAATTTGTGAGCAATCACAAATGTAGAAGGTTTAAAGCTGATACAAGGTACTGAAAAGGCTGCATTAAGATCTTGGTGGGGTGTGAGATAATGGCAGTTGTGCGATGGCCGAAGAGCTGAGACGTGAGGTTCGCGGTTCAATTTCCAAAGACATTCTATACAATTCATCATCATCCAGAAGTAATGAAGTATCCAGCAAGTAATTGGTGACTTTAGTAATTAGATCAATTTTATAAGGAGTTTGCTGGAAGTGACGGATCTCTTGGATAACATGGGCAATCTGCAAGCATACCCATGCTGTTAGAACATTCCATTAGAATGTGCTGCACACCCAATCAATTACCATGTTACCAAAACTTGGTCTTCAATTGGGGTTTCATTCTTCACCACACATTGACTCATATTAATTAAGATTTGTCACAGAAAAACAAATGTGTTCAAAACAAGCAACATTCCTTGTTAAAGGCGAAAAAATCGCAAAACACTCACACAGAAATCCTATGACATAACAAGAGATTATATTTGAAAATAAAAATATGTTTCCCCCTTTCAATATAATAAATATTTAAACAAAGCAGTTTGTGGTGGACTGGATATGACATTTGGCAATATGACAGTATGCTTATAGAAAATTGATAGATAAACTTCTTTCAAATGGCCACTAGGAAATACACAATGAAGATGGAAAGAAGAATTTGTTGTGTTAATTCTAATACTAAAAAGACTGGGTCAAATGACTGCCCTCTGGAGTAGTACTGTTGAAATTTCAATGAATTTCGGTGAAGTGGATTTGTACACTAAAGACAGGCAAATAGAATAAAATATGTACTGAGATAACAGGGCTATATCTACAGAAATTTAATGTTAAATAAAGAAAAACTTAAAATTGAAAAATGTTAAATAGGGATTTCACTGTAATGAACTGGTCATAAACTTCAAACTTTCATTATAACAAAAATTCTTAGGGTTCTATTAAAATGCCTGTAAACAGATGTAAATAACTTAAAATAATGTAAATCAGAGTGCAGTTGGAAAAGAAAATTAAACTTGAAGCAGTTCATGATAAATGGACATATAGAAGTAATGTGAGTGTCTGCTGTTCCACTGTGACCAGGGATCCAATTATGCAGTAATTCTATTTCTTAAAAGAAAGACAAGAGGAACCTCTATTAACAACAGTAGACATAATCTTATCCACTGCTGTAGTTACTTAACCCCTTTGAAGCACCAAGCAACAGAAAAGGCAGAATCAGTTATGTTAATCAAGAAAAAATAAAATAAACAAATTATATATATATCCCAAGAGCAATTCAGGTTGTAAACTGTACATACTAGACACAAGCTCAACAGTACCCTTTATGAAAATAGTGTTTTACTTACCATTCTCATCTTTGAAAAGTTGAGGAGCCCATCTTCTGTGAAGTTCGGTGTTCCTTCTTCAATAAATGAGAGGTCAGTGAGGTACATGCCCAGATATGGTATGCATGGAGGATCACAACGACGTAAAGAATCACGCAAGTTTCGGAAACGTCCGTCTGATGAAACTATTTTCTGCAGTTTCTCAATAGTCTGTTTGGTCTGGGTAGAAAGAAACAGAAATAGCAGTCTCGCGTGGTGTGTGCATGTGCATGCGTATAATTTTTTAAATGTGGCATTCACTATTTATTGGCTCCAGTGCCACATTAGAAATTCAAAATACAAATTACAAAAGTATTCTTAAAGCCATGCATACAAACAAAACTGTTTACACATTAAATAACACTTTGTGCCAAACGTGTTTCGTCCTCAAGAGCTTATCATCAGTGGGAAAAACATTAATTCATTAGTCTGTCTATTAAAATCATACAGTTCATGAGACGATGGTGTGTTATAAGGCACTGTAAAAGGTCACACTTAAACGTTCAGTGTGGTATTACATGAAGTATGGTTTTTCAGAATTTATAGAACATTAAGGTGTGGTAAATAAAAGAGTATAAATACAATATTATAATGAAGACAAAATTATATATACCGTTTTTGACACTTTCTCCCACGTTTTCTTTAGCCTGAAGACAGAACTGTTGGTGAAGGCAGCACACACCTGCAGAACACCATTGAAATTATGTAGACATCTTGAGATATCTGCTACAGCAGCCCATTTTTCAATGGCAGCAATGCGAGAGGCCATATTTGAGCGGCGTACTATTTCTGAAACCACTAACTGAGAGACCTGAAAGAAATTTTCAAAAGTTTTGTCATTTTTAAATAGCAATAAAAGAAATAAAGTATTAGCTAAAAGTGGGTAAAACAGATGGCCAATTTGTGCAGAATAAAATAGAAAGATATGAGTGAAAAGTAAATAATAGGGTACAATGTTAAAGCAGCATTTCTTAAGTGCAGGTACCAAATATTCTCATAAACACAAAATGGTCATCAGCAACCAGATTTAAGTGTTACAAAGTAATCTATCAATCTAGTAATTATCTTTTTTCTGCACACCTGGAATAAATTCAAAGTTTTATTAAAACTGAATGTGTTCATGAATGCAGGCCAAGGCAATTTTTTACTTCAAAACCACTGTTTTAAAGTTTTGTGACAACATTATTATGTGCCCATTGTCCTAATTATGTTTGGCATACGTAATGTATCCCAAGTTGTGTCTAGTTCCATCAGCAGATCATTTGTTGGTACACTATAAAGGCAATACCCAAACTACAACTCTCAACTTGTCAGGAGGAAAACATATATTGAAGATTTCTGTCTTCTGGGTTGTTGCGCCGTGTAGTCTGGTCGATGTTTACCAACGTTTCATAGGTCATACTGCCTCCGTCATCAAGGCGATAAGTATGAAGATTTCTGTCTTCTGGGTTGTTGCGCCGTGTAGTCTGGTCGATGTTTACCAACGTTTCAGAGGTCATACTGCCTCCGTCATCAGGGCGATGAATGACAGAAATCTTCATACTCACCGCTGTGAAAACCTCAAATCTTACAAAACATATATTCATGCAACACAGATGGCAATCCTAAAGCAGCTGGGAACATGTAACTCATGCATAAAACCAGAAATATATATAAATACAACCAACTAATTACAAAATAAAAATCAATTAAAAGTTCCAGTGTGTAAGCAAAACCACAATGCACAAACAAAGGTTAATCAAGGGATATATGTAATTATAGCATTTTACAATGGTAATTAAGATGACAGTTTATAATACTAACTTCATTAAAACGCTTTGTCATTAGAATAATGTGTGGAGCTTTAGTGGCTTTATCTGTTTTCATCCATGCCTGTCCAAGAAACTCCCTGAAACAGAGACATATATCCCATTCAAAGCATATTGCAGAAAATGTTTTATACCACTCACTGAAATCAACAAGCTTTATCTTTCGAATAAATATTTCAAATTTCATCAGTGTGCGATAAACATAAAAATACTTAATCCAGATGTATGCCTATTCCACAACATTTCTGTTTCTATTATTGCATTTTATTTAATTTGAATGATGACACTACTTCGTACATGAATATAACTTATCTTGTGCGCGAATTTCTTTTGTATGATCTGTAAAGTGTAAAATGTTCTATGAGTATCACCTGTTACTTATTTTTGCAGATACTTACTCACTGGATATGGACACAAATATCTGGTGATCAACGTAGGTCATTTGTTCGGCTATTTCAAGTGCTGATAGTGTTTCTATGTTCTCCTTGCTTGGTGTCTGTAACAAAACATAATTTGAGAGGTAATATTATTAACATCCTGATTAATCCTTACACTGTCAACCAACTGTAATGATTCTTATATAAGTAGATAAAGTCATTTCAAGACAACAACAAAAAATCATAAATTATGCCTATACTTCTGGGCTCTGATAGCCATGATACTCAAGCATAATCAAATATGCAGTTCCACGAACTTGTGGAAAGACAATTATTACAGCATTTGTCTAATAAAACGTACCACTGATTTCCATGTGTTCATCATGAGTACTAACCATTGGAGGAGCCAACAGGAGATCAAGGTCCACTTTACTGCTCTCTGACTCTTCTTTTGTGATGAGGCGGAGTAACTGAGATGCAGCTTTGTGTTCTGCTGGCAGCAAATTTGGACTGCATATTATGTCATCAAGGAATTCCATGGTCAGGTTCTTCAAACACTGGTCCATTTCAAAATCCTAAGAAAGAATATAAGGTAGTGGGGATCAAGCACTTTTAGTCTTACTGACTTCTGTATTTTAATGTGTTTATTTTACCTCTAACTGTTGACAGTTCAGAAACTGTTATCATCCATCAGAGTTTAAAGGCAATAACATGAAATAAAATTCTTGGAATATTTGAAAATATACTGAAATAACAACAAAAATATTTTTATCTTGATGGAAGAAATCTTGAGCAAGTCTTTATATAACTACATGCTTCTGCAGGTTTATTAATATGACACATACATTATTTCAATATACTTTTCTTTGGGCTATACCTGAGCATGTTTTGACACCCAGTGCCTGAGAACACTCAGCACTCGCATGGTGGCAGCTGTTGACATAACAGACTCCTTCCTTCTGTTCCGGTCTCGACAGCTGCCCACTCTCATGCTTGCGTCTCCTACACTGCACCGTCCTCCAGCACCTACAGGTTGTTTAGTGGGTATAGTGTGGTCTCGCGGGTTGCTTGAAGCAGATGTTGCAATAGCAAATGCAGCTGCAGCACTGGATGTACTGCTCCTACAACAAGACAGTCAATATGGCTTGTTAAACAGCATTATAATTGTATTATCCATTTCTCAAACTGTATGTAATAAATAAGTGTAGTAAGTTACATACAAATAATATTATCATATGGAATAGATTATGTTCTTAATATTCCAGTGTCACTGGTTTTTCTGTCTGAATTTTAGTGACAAAACTAGTAAAGTCATTTAAATTGTAATAATTTTTTATTCTAAATTTTTGAAAAATCAAACATATTCTGAAATATTATTTGGTTGTATAATCTGGGATATTTAGTAGTGATGGCCAAATAATAAATGCAGTTTTGTAACACACATATAAACCTCAAACAAAATCCATTATGCCAGGAAATACATGACAAAGCAGTGCAATAAAGTTGTTTATTATCAGTGATGCATCATATGTACTGTGCAGAATTTACAAACTCCCATCCTAAATGAATATGAGAATAACTTATTCTCATGGAAGAGATAGCTCACTATGGGGCCAATAATTTAAAATAAGACAATCCAAGTAAAATTAAAGTTAGTGTAAATATAAATGTAATTAAAATTAAGCAATGCTATATTCCACAGCAAGATAGCAACGTCATGATTGTGTCAAGAAATATTTAATAGTCAATATTCTTGTGAGGCATTTTTCAGGTGAGTTATAAATATTTCTTTATACCTAATCATTGGTTCTGCTTTGTATGAGTAACAGGTAAACCAGACAGACTCCAGTCTCATAACCAGTGCTGTTCAGAAACAAACAATTCCTTTAAAACATTAATTAAACTAATAGAAGTTTGAAGGTTTCCAATATTAATGTGACATACTGTGTGGAATTTATTGAGCTTTACCCACCATCTATGTGATTTAAAAAACCACAATGTTTCAGACGTTGGTTCTACTTCTGTCTTCAGGTGACTGGAAGACAAAAGGTAATTCTGTTGAACCCCTTGGTCAAGTCAGTATCAAATCTTCATCTATATTTGGCAAGGGGACTCAACAGACTATGCTTTTGTCCTCCTGTCATCTGATGACAGAAGAGAAACCAACTTACAAAACTTTTTTAAACACCCAGATGACGGACACAGTCTAAAGGAAAAAAAGAATTATACAATAAAATAAACTGTTCTAAAAACATCACATTCAAAAGCACACCATAAATCATTATTTTGTTATTTCCTTCTTATGAATACCACATGAAAATATGATCGCTCCAGTAGATCTTCAGCTGTTACATATGAACTGATATATCGACAATCATGTCACATAAACATAGTAGTAAATCAGAGATGGTACCTGTCATTTGTTAATATGCCACATTATAAAACTCTCCACTTTCTCACTACTTATGAGACTAAAGAATGAATGATTTATAATACTATTTAGTATTTCACATTAGTAACTGTTATAAAATGGGTAGAATATGTGTAAAATACACATGTGCCATACAAAGGCAGGACATTTTCAGGTATGTATAACATTTGGGACCTTTCTACATATTGATCACTCAATGACTTTAATACTGACTCCACAAACCCATTGTGCCCTAATTGTGGTCCCAATGGGAACAGGGAAAGGTGAGAAAAATTCCCATGGGTATAACTCATTGATATTTTCCAAAATCTAAACAGAGTTCCTAGGCCTTCTAAAATAGGACACAAGGGGTTAATCACGCACATTGCTTCAAAGCAATGTAAAACTGCCAAAAGCATGCTGTTAAGGGAAAAGCTCAACTATTAACCCAGGTTACCAGATTATTTAAGAAATAAAATAACTTATTTAAAAAAGTAAAATCTCTTTCCAATACAGAATACAGAAGTAACAGAGTTTGCTATGTCTGTTAATTCTATATATTTTTAAATTTTAATGGGTTTTGAGCCATTTTTGTAGAATTTAAAATCAGATCCAGCTTAGTTATGTCTACATTTTTTTGTATTAAGCAGGTAGTAAGGAATTTTATACATAATCAGAATTGTAATCAGCACTGTTGCTTTCTATATTATAATGTGTATATTTATACTTTCTTATATGTATATAAGAGGATGAAATTATGCAAGTAACTACATTTTAATTTGTCTTGAACAGTGGTCTTCTGCGTTGGCCAGTACTCATTTGTACATATCTAAATTAAATTACACAAATTACACAAACAAAATCTAATTTCTTTTCAAGTAATCAGGTAACCTGGTAATTCATATACAATGATATCTACAGGCTAGTACAAATGTGCTTAATTGCATCAGTGGTCTCCAACATTCATAAATTGTTATCATGAAACTCTGGTGTGGGAGCCTGTGTATTTTCTTAAAGAGCATATGTAAAATTAACCCACCTACTGTATACAAACACTGATTAACATACTGACCAGACTGATTAAAACTTTAAAAAATATTTTTCATATCATCAAACAAAAATAAAATGATATTCCTCTGGACTAAATTGTCAACTCACTTTATGGTATATTCTGCTACTGAAGTGGGGTAAAATTTGAGAGAATCTTGAATGAGAAAATGTGAATGCTCTCTAACATCAAGACATATGCATTCTGTTCAGCTTACTTAACTTGATAAATTTTTACAACAGTGTGCCATTGTTATTCCTTATTTGTCATTCTCTCTTAATATTAATAATATGCGTCATTATGAGAGATTGCAATTATGATGTAATTTACTTATAATCACTCATAACAACAACATTGTAAACTTCTTTACATTTCTTGAAGAGCCTTGCCATGTCCACTTGGACCATTAGATGGAAGCCACTGATTTGTATAGCTTAATCATTCTTTGTGCTACATTCAATCTAGCCTACTTGCTGTTGCATGGAATGTGCTTGAATATAATTCATCAACTTCACTGGGACAGAGGGTGATAAATGATGGGCTAAAAGAGTGGTTACAAGAGGTATTATTAAAACTGCAGCAAAAGGAACAGCCATAGCTTAATATAATGCAAACTGTTACTGAAGAGATTAACGTGTATTTTTACCTTCCAATAACCTCACTCCAAATATCTGAATCTAATTCAATGTTCAAGTTAACTATAAATACCAATGCTATATAATTTTCTTTTAGATCTCTTGCAGAAGGAAACGTTTTAATACTTTGCAACTTTTTAAAAAAAATGTGTTCCACAATGCAATGTGTATACAGATCTTTGGTGTATGGTGGGACAGCTTTGCTTTACTTTACTTTACTTTCACTGGTACACCTTAATAATAATAATCCGTGGCGTAACAGCCCTCTGAGAGCCAAAGCCGACTAGCTTGACTGCTGGCCTCACGTTCACATGCCTAAGCAGAGGTGAACGATCATCAAGTCAGATATAGGGTGACATGTGGTCAGCATGACGAACCCCCAGCCATTGCTAGTTTTCATGACCGGATTACACTACCCATTGTAGCTCCCCAGTTTCCTCACGATGCTGGGTTGGCACCGGTCCCATACACCGGTTAAAAATCTTATGAGAAAATTTTCCCCGAGACTCGAACCAGAGCGCATTCCGTATTACCTGTCTGAAGCATGATGCCTCAGACCACGTGGCTACGGCGCAGGACGGTACTCCTTAATGGAACACTATAAATTCAATAAAGCATTATTTTAAATTTTGCAGTTTACAGAAATTATCTGTCAATTATGTAATTCTCCCATCATTTGCAAGAAATATCATATTTGTATCATGTCCAGAAATAAATTGTGCTCAATTATAAATGACAAAATTTTGTTTGAAATGTATGCTATGTGAAATTAACCTTAAACATAATACAAAATACATTCAGTGCTGGAAATGAGGACACAAGCAAAATGAAAGAAAGAAATATAAGAAGCAGAAACAAACCTATTATGATTATTGCTACTTACCAAAGGGGTTCATGTCCGATGCTGATGTGAAGGCAAAAATACATCACCGCACAATAAGAGCACGATAATGAAGGATAAAGGATAAGATGACATCAAAACAATTATGACAAAAAAAGCAAACATATAACCTGAGTTATAACATATCCAAGAATGGCCTGAAATTAAACAAAACTTTTACATGAATTGTTTGAAGTTTAGCTTCACAGGTTTTGCTCTAAGGCTTATACTTCACAAAAAACTTTGAAAAACTTATCTTTGTTTTATAGTTTAATTTAAAGATTCTATATTTGTTACAAAATTATCTAACAGCCTGAGGTCTGTTGTGTAGTGTTATTTTAGAAAATGGGACTTCTCAGAAAAAATGTAAGAACAATCCTCCAGTGAAGAAGGGGATCACTGAAGGTAACACAAAGCATATAGTCCCTAAATTTCACACATCTGCTTTACATATGATGGCACAAGTTTCAAGTCTTGGTCCAGTGACTATCTGCCATGTCATGATTTCTTTCAGTCCCTCCAGGCCATTGAATTGAATAATAAAGAATTGAATTATCATCATCATTATTAACAATAGCTGAACATTGTAAGTAGACCTGACTGAATTTTTTGATAAACACCCTTGATCTAGCCTGTCAGTTTACAAATAGCATTTATTGATTCTTTGGATGTGTTTGTAACTAAGAGTTGCAAAAGTGTATCAATTAGCCTTGCCTTGGCCATCTGTCCACATGTAACAACTATAGAAGAGCTGAATGAACATTTATGGCATTTGATATAGGGAAATTTTATTAAAATGTGTCAAAACATTCAGTTTTTGTTCAAACTAGAGAACAAAAACAAGCACTTTACATAAAGATTTAGGTGTATTTCTGAGTTTAAACGTGACCAGATGTGAAATCCTAAGCCTACCTTGTTATATGTGAACTCAATGTAAATTGCATAACATAACATAACATGTTAATGGTACTCCTTTAGAAATAATACTCTTTTATGTAAAAGTTTTAAATCTGATTGTAAGGATTTTGATCAAAAGCTACTGGAACAGAAGCACAGAAGAGCAAAAGGCAGTCAGAAATTTGATGTTTGTTTCTTTACTTAACTTAATTAATGCTTTCTTTTTTAGCTATAAACCATTTGTGCTGGTATTAAGACAGCTTTCAGTGTGATATTTTCTCAGAGCAAGCCTAAGTGTAATCTCAGCTACAACCAAAAAATTTGCCTTGAAAAGAATTTTACACACAAAACCAAAATTCTACATTAACCTTTAACATTGTTTTATACAGGATTTGTATGATTTGATGTTTTTGCGGCGTTGAGTCTGAAGATGGCTGTCATCGCCCTGATGATGGAGGCAGCAAGGACCTCAAACATCAGTAAAATTCTACCAAACTACACAGTGCAATAATCCCAGAAGACAGCCATCTTCAATATAACCATTGTTACACAAATAATACTTGGTTTAGTTTAAAAAACAGTCAGGAAATTAATGACTCCAATGTACAGTTCGCAAATCAAACTGTGAATTTTCAAAGTATTAATTGTTGTTTTGTCTTATTTCCACCATTCTCAGACATCGTGTAGTTTGTATGTAGATATTTTAAATATGTTATAAATCTGACTATCTGAAAGGACCACAGTTCAACAGAGTCAACAGCACAAATAACAAAATTAATTTTCTTATAAGAAGCTATTTCTTACTTATTTGCCAAGCCTCGTATTTACAAAACAACACGTTCAAATTTTATAACTACTTCATTTATAATGTGATGCTGTAAGGCCAATGACCTCAGTATTGAAATGAAGGATAATAATGAATCTGAAATTGACAGGAAAAATGCTTTGTCATATGTTAATAACTGTCAACACCCCAATTATCTTTAATGCATAATGACTATAAAACACTATGCTGTTAGATCTCAGACAGCTGTTCCTAAACATACTGAAGTACAGAATTTTCAGTGCATTTATGTTGGCATTCTTTGCATGAAGTTAGTGAAATGTGGAGGTCACATATACCTGTCCATCCACATTTTGTCCCTGAAACTATTAACAAGTTATCAGATTAATTTCCTCCTGGTCAGACTGAATATAACCTTTACATCATATGACTTTAACAATTTTTTTAAAAAACTCACCATAAAAGAAATGGTATGTGACAGAAGATACAGACCTCATTTTTAGATCATTACACCATTTTTAACACAATACCTGCAATGTATTAGCTGCATTAAAACAGATTTTCATCTGCAATAAATGAACATGAAGACCAATGATATATGCAAAATCATAAAAAGACTCATTTGGAAAATATGTGTACTCCAGTTCAGAGTATATCTTTACACTGTATTTCTACCAACTATTCACACTCTTAGTTTTATTCAAATTTTGAAATAAAAACTATTAAATCAGCACAATTTTCTTTGGGTGTCTGAAATAAGAAACCACACAATCTACAAACTGTGAGTCCAACGAAGAAGACACACAATTTTGTCATACATAAACAGAGAGCATAATTAATATGTTGTGCCCACTTTCTCCAATACACTGCTTTGCTCACCTTCTGTGTGACTGCCGGAACGAAGTGATGACCACACCAGCTTTGCTAGAGTTCTGTGGTGAATCATGTTGAAAGCTTGTCCTCTGAGACATGCTACTTCCTCCACCTTCTAAGTCCTGAATTGACTTCCGACTTGCATAATAGGACTGAAATTGCACAAATATACAGTACAATGGAACATCGCTTTATCATTCATATTTGTCATATACACAGTTTTTTCACAAAAAGGTGCTATGTGAAGAATAGATTAAAATTTACATTACATTTACACAACATTTACTCAAGAGTAAAAAATGTATAAATATTTCCTTTTTTGGAAATAGTATGTTGTAAGGTTTAGAATATATAATTTCACTAAATATGACAGAGAAGTTCAAGAAAGGGCTTTTTCTCTCTTCCCTGTGTTGTTTGGTACAAAGATGTAAATTTACATTTTAAACTTACATCTACAGTTTAACCTATTACTACAACATGTGAAGCACAATACATTTATTTATTTATTCTCAATTTCACTGATCATGGCAAAAGTATATAAAAATATATATTAACAATATAAATCCTCTTCAAATTCTTCCATTATTACTAAATTACTGAACCAATCCTAGTCAGTTAGCTCAGTTTCCCGGTAAACTGTATTTCATAAGTGACCCTACTGAGTTGGTTCAGCTCAGATCAGGAGGTCATTCTGGGCAAACAAAGCTCGTTTTAAAAGTGTCTTGCATTTACCTGGATTACATTTGTTGTCGTGATGGAGGCTGACCTGGAACTAGTGCCAGCTTTGTGTTCATGAGTTACAGGTTGTGAAAGCCCTTCAGCGCATAATTCATCAGACACATGGAAATCATCTGGTTTCCCCTTCTCCTCTTCATATCCCTCCCTTCTTGCCTGTCCCTCAGATCCTTTCCGTTTTACCTGAGTACGAGACAGTCGCCTCTCTGATTCTACGATTGGAACTGATGCTCGCTTCTCGTCATTCCTGAATTGCACGCTCATACTGGAAGGCTTTGTTTGTTCTTCACTACTCTCTCTTATAACAGGTGACATCACTTCTGGTTCTGCACGTATGTACTTTTGCTGCTTTGTTACCAAGTCAGTCTCTGACTCCATTTCTACTTCCATATGTGAGGTCTCATTGTCTTGAGGACTCATCTCAGAGTTGTTTGAACCAACGAGGGTGACAGTACTCAGATTGCTTGGTGAAGATGGGGCACTTATAACTGTGATATCTATGAACATTTTGGAAAACGCATTTCAAAAATTAACAAAACCAAAGGGTATAAATGTGCCTGAATGATACAGAAAGGAAGAAGCGTTTTGGAGAGTAAAATCACAAAGACAGGTTAATTATTATTTGTACTTTTCAGTTTGCATTTTAGTGTTACTAAACAAAAGAGGATGACAAAAACTAGTATGTAACAATGGTTGGGTGTTACAGGCTTCATTCACTTTAATTATCTTAAGGGTATAAATAAAATATACGGAATTTGATTAAACTTGATTACAGTACGTATTACTCTTCAGGTACTTGTATTATATGAGAATTACCAAGTGAGATTAATTAATGTGCATCAGTTTAATAAACTTTAATATCAAGACATCAAAAACGAACAAAATGCCTCCACAAGGATGCACTTACCATTTCTTCTTGATCAATTTATGTTAGATTAACCTACTGGAATACCAATTGGTCTCTGGCATTTTACCATTTCTTCTTGGTTAATTTATTACTGGAATACCAATTGGTCTCTGGCATAGACCAAATGTTATGGATGTTAAGGCACAAAGAGGTCTTTCAGCCAATTGAGGGTAGAACCGACACACTATCAAATATAGTGAAGAGGTGTCATCAGATATGAACACAGTAACATTTATTTTTCAACACAGATGTAATTTATAAAAGCAAGCTATTGATTTTATCAGAAATATTTCAGAACCCCAGAAACCTAAATTTCTAATGGTGTCCATGTGGGTTGAAGGCGTGACAGCTGATTTTGTGATAATTAAGTGGCATACAGAGTGCTAATTAAATCCTAATATTAGTAGAAATGTATTTCACTCACCAGTAAGAGTCTCAGAACTTGAAGACACAGTAATTGTCTTTGGAATGGTGAGGTGGCACCCATCATCTTCTGGTTCTACACAAATGCTCAATGGTGACATGCAAGGTGAAGGCTGGTGCGATGGACTTTGTTGGATGATTGGTGGACCTTCTTTTATCAATCCCAATTCCCTTGATTCCTCTTCAACTGTGTTATAAATTATATGTATCAATTAAAGAAACACAATTGTATGTTACCACATTATATTCCTGATGTGGAATTATAATTATTTAAATATTTTAGGTTAATAGATTTAGTTGTTTGAATAGGAAGACATAACTCCATAGAAAAATAACATGAATGCTTTGTCCTTGCTATCACATTTTTATATTATTGAGACTTTTGATATTTTGCTACAATGGATCTAATACTAATATCCAAAAGAATGTTTTATCTACACACACATTATCAGCTATCATCAACCTTTGCTTTCAAGAACTATCAAGAGTACCTGCCATTGGTGTGACATATTTGAAGGAGTCAGTGATTAGAAATAACTTCCAGCTTACAAAATATTAATTCCCATTTCAAATGAAAGCACTTACACTTGCGGAAACCGCATCGCCAGTGTCCCTTGGAAAATGCTTGAGAATCATAACTATGACTTCGATCACGATCACTCATCTCTGAGCCATAACCTGAAATGGTGCAGCGAGATAAATAGGAACAGACTATTGGTTATTACTAGGCAGCAAACACACATTCAGAACTTACACAACAATAAAAAACATAATACAATTAAATGCGGAGTGTTTCAATAAAGTATACAACAGAAAGGTTATAATGTCTGCCACATACTTTAGAGCACTGTGAAGGCAATTACAATTTAGTGTCAAATCCCTGTGTTTTAGGAAAAGTCATGGACAGTATTATAAAACAGAAGAGAATAATTTTCTTCTCAACTTTACCTGATACAGAACTAGCACCACTGGTTCTTCTTGGTGATGCACTGCTCCGTCTCCGTTCACTATCATACTGGTGCAAAGTATTGTGGTCCTCTCGGACACACAGGACATCCAATGACCTGCAAAGTTACATCAAATTTATAAGAAGGTAATTTCCAGAGAAACTGATCAGAATTAAAATTAAAGTGCAACTTATAAAGTAGTGCATACAAGAAGTCCATTTAATCCTTTCCTGTGCTAGTTGACTCAAGTCCATACTTTCAAACCCTGTTTCTCCAAGACCCATTTGACCTTATTCCACTCTTCGCAAATTAAAAGCTTCAGACATACTTTCTGATTTGGTAATTAGAATTGCTAAATTTCTTCATGTTCATATTACAAATTATTTTCCAAAGTTATTTTCAACCATATCATGAAATGAATCTTATTTACTTTAATTTCAGATTAAGTTTAACATTTATTTGGACCCACATAAGAAAACAAGTAGCAGCACCAAATGACACAGTGTTACTAAATTGCAACTTGTAGAGGTGACCTTCATTACATGTACTGACACATAGGATGCTCTTGTACTCTACATTGGCTGAACACACTAAATAAATTAATTTAAAAAATCTATTTCTGTATTTCCTTGATTTTAAGATGCTTTTGATTGTGAATGCACCCTTGTTTTACTAATAGGTTTTCAAGAAAAAAGATGCTATATCAATTCTTACGCCATCAAATTTTGAAATGTGAAAAAGTGTCTTAAAATGCAGGAAATACAGTAGTTATATTTCCTGTCTGCTTTAACTTAGTAATATCAAATGCAGCTGTATGAAACTGCTATGTTATTAACACACAACATGATAAATAATAACAGAAGAACAAATGCAATGAAACACACATGATTGAACCTGCTGTGCTTGTCTGAGCTTCTGGTGGATCCGCATTGTAGAAAACTTTCTTCAGTGCCTCAAGTATTGTTACACCATCAGTGAATACTCGGTATGTTAACAGGAATGTGTTAAGAAAATCAATAGAGAGAAATCGTAGGTCTGTAAGCCTCTCCAGCAGTCGTTCTGGCGTGGCGTATCGAATTTGGGGCACCTGCAGAACCAAATGTAATTTTATCAAACACATAGGAATATTACCACTGATGAAATTCCATGGAATAAATAAGAAAGTAAAAATTACATTATATAAAACTCTCATCCGTAGCATAATATCATACGGGAGTGAAACATGGGTACTCAGCCAGAATGCAGTAGATAAAGTGGATCTGTTTGAACGGAAAATCCTGAGGAAAATTTTTGGCCCGACAGAAGCAGCAGGTGAATGGAGGATAAAACCTAATCAGGAAATCTATAAATTATATAAAAACATGTCAGTGTCACAATTTATAAAAATCAAGAGACTTCAATGGGCAGGTCACCTTATTCAGATGGACGGCATCCGAATTCCAAAGATGGTATTCAAAGGTAGTGTTGGAGGAATAAGACCAGTTGGAAGACCCAGGAACAGAAGGGAGGATGCAGTTCAAACGGATGCCACACTGTTCCTGAGGATTAGAAATTGGAAGAAGGCAGCGGAGGATAGGAACGAATGGAAGAGGAGAATTGAGGAG